TTGATGGAAAAAGATCTAACTGTATTCCTTGCTCTATTGCTTACCAGCTAGGTCACCTTGGATGGATTACATGTTTTTGAACTTGTTTCTTCACATGAAAAATAAGATCTCTGACCCTGGCAGTAATATTGTGAAGTGGGTGTAAAAAGAGATTTGAGAAATAGAAAGAGACAGAAACAGAGACAGACAGAGAGAGATTTGTTTTATAGCTTTGCTGCTAGCTTTCACGAAGTAATTCTGTAAAGACTCTGCAATGTTTTTAACCCCCATGATATACAAAAAAATTTACACACTGACAAATACACAATGCCTGCAACCAGGCATTAATTAATAAGATATTAATTATTGTTCAGAACTTGCAATATTAAGAGCTGATTTCTACAGTATAAAAGATATTGGCTGTTAGTACTAATGGTTTTTTTACACCTTTTCTAAGAGGCTTTTATTCAGAAGAGGCTTCTTCTGGATGTTGTGATACAGGTAAAGAGAAACATCGCTTGTAAGAGGGTGCTTTAGAAACTTTTGTAATCTGACCTTACCCTCAAAGAGATTTTGCTTATAGTCTGGAATGTTCTTTAGATTTTTTCACATCTTTTAAATGCAACTAGTTCTTTCCGTCTTTCAAGTCAAATAGGAGCCTAGAATTTGTTAGAGCGGACCTATAATATCTCTAATGGGGGGAAAAGGCAAAGAGAGGTAACAGATGCTATCCAGAATCTGAAAATGGCAAGGAAATGAAGTCTCCAAGACAAACAAAACTCTGCCAGCATCCGGACTTTAGCCCAGTGAGATCGGTCTCTAACTTCTCACTCTTAGAACTGTACAATAAGAAACTTGTGTTTCTTAAGCATTAAGTTTGTGCTGATTTTTTTTTACAGAAGCCATAAGAATGTAATATTCAATAAATCATAATTTGCCCGAAACATTTCAGATTCAGTGACTTTAATGTTAAAACTTATTATGATCTGGCAAGCTGGATATACTTCTTTCTTAGATATAACCACCAGGATAAGTTTGCCAAAGTCAATTTTTTAATTTGAATATAGTTGACACACAATGTTATATTAGTTTCAGGTGCACAATTTACTGGTTTGACAAGTTTATAGGTTCTGCTGTGCTCCCCACGAGTATTGCTACTGTCCATCCCGCTACGTTGCTATTACAGTATCATTGACTCTGTTTCTTATGATGTACCTTTTATTCCCATGATTTATTCTTTCCAGAACTGGAAACCCGTACCTTCCACTCCCCTTCACCCATTATGCCCAACCCCCCGCCTTCTCCTCTCTGAAACCATCTGTTTGTCCTCTGCATTTATATGTCTGACTAAGTCTGATTCTGCTTTTTGTTCATTTATTCACTTTGGTTTTCATTTTTAGATTCCACTTATGAGTGGAATCATAAGGTATTGGGTTACTCAATCTGATTTATCTCATTTATCATAATACCCTTCAGGTCCATCCATGCTGTCTCAAATGGCATGATCTCAGCCTTTTTATGCTTGTATACTATTCCATACACACACACACACACACACACACACACACACACACACACACACATTCCTTGTCTATTCCTCTATCGATAGACACTTAGTTGCTTCTTTATCTTCAGTATTATACACAATGCTGAAATAAACATTGGGGTGCAATTATCTTTTTAAATTAATGATTTTGTTTCCTTTGGGTCAATACCCAATAGTGGAATCATTGGATAATATAGTAGCTCTATTTTTAATTCTTTTAATATATATATTTTTAAATTTTAATGTTTTATTTACTTTTGAGAGAGAAAGAGAGAGACAGGGTGTTTTCAGAGAAGGGGCAGACAGAGGGAGACACAGAATCCGAAGCAGAATCCAGGCTCCAAGTAGTCAGCACAGAGCCCGATGTGGGGCTTGAACCTACCAACCATGAGATCATAACCTGAGCTGAAGTCAGATGCTTAACAATCTGAGCCACGCAGGTGGCCCAATATATTTTTTAATTCTAGTATAATTCATAATAATACAGTGTTAGCTTCTTAAATCTAGTATAATTAACGATAATACAGTGTAAGTTTCAGGTGTGCAATATAGTGATTCAACAATTCTACACATTATTCAGTGCTCATCACCATGAAAATACTCTTAATTCCCTTCATCTATTTTACCCATCCTCTCCTACCTCCCCTCTGGAAACCACCAGTTTGTTCTATATACTTAAGAGTCCATTTTTCTGTTTGTCTATTGGTTTTCTTTGTTTTGTTTCTTAAATTCCACATGACTAAAATCATATGATATTTGTCTTTCTCTGACTAACTTATTTCACTTAGCATTATACCCTCTAGACTCATTGATATTGTTGCAAATGGCAAGATTTCATTCTTTTATGACAGAATACTATTCACATCTTCTTCATTCATTTTCTATGGATGGACACTTGAGCTGCTTCCAGAGATTGGCTATTATAAATAATGCTGCAATAAACATAGGGGTATATATATCTTTTCACATTATTGTTTTTTTTTTTTTTGAGTAAATACTCAAAGAAAATTAATTACCAGATCAGATGGTAACTCTATTTTTCATTATTTGAAGAGCTTCCATACATTTTCTAGAGTGGTTGTACAAATTTGCCTTTCCACCCATAGTGCATAAAGGTTTTCTTTTTTTTTTTAATTTCACATCTTCTCCAACACTTGCTGTTTCTTGTGTTTTTGATTTTAGCCATTCTGACATGTACAATGTGAGATCTCACTGTGGTTTTGATTTACATTTTCCTGATGATAAGTGACGTTGAGCATCTTTCCATTTGTCTGTTGGCCATCTATATGTCTTCTTTCGAAAAATGTCTGTTCATGTCTTCTTCCCACTCCTTTTTTTTTTTTTTTTTACAAATAGTTTATTGTCAAATTAGTTTCCGCATCTTCTTCCCAGTCTTTAATTGGATTATTGGGGGGGGGGGGGCGTTGGTGTTAAGTTGCATAAGCTTTTTATATTTTTTGGATATTAACCTCTTGTTGGATATATCATTTACAAATATATTCTCCCATTCAGAGGGTTGTCTTTTTATTTTGTTGATAGTTTCCTTTGCCATGCAAAAGCTTTTTATTTTAATATAATCCCAATAATTTATTTTGTTTTTGTTTTCCTTGCCAAAGGAGACATATCTGGAAAAATGTTGTTACAGCCAGTGTTGGAAAACTTACTGCCTGAAGTCAATATTTAATTTGCATCCCATGTATGTGTATAAAACAACTGTAGGGGGTGCCTGGGTGGTTCAGTTGGTTAAGAGTCTGACTCTTGACTTTGACTCAGGTCATGATCTCACAGTTCTTGTGTTTGAGCTCAGCATTGGCTCTGCACTGACAGCACAGAAATTCCTTGGAATTCTCTCTTTCTCCCTCTCTCTCTGCCCACTCCCCACGCATTCTCTCTCTCTCCTGCTCTTTCACTCTCTCAGAATAAATGAATAAACTTAAAAATTATAGAATAAATACATGTCATAAGAAAAAGATATTAAATACTGTAGGAAATTAATGGAAGACTGAGTAAACAATATATGTTTGGAGGCCACTCTCAAGAAAAACAGGTAAGATTTACAAAGTTATCTTTTTGCATTACAGAATATGGATTTGATGAAGAGACAAATATGATGAATCCCAGACATACTTTTAAGAAAATAGCAAGTTTTTGCTGTTCTAGATCCTTTGGTTGAATAAATCCATAGCACAGCCCAGGACAGCCCATAGATTATCCAGTGGTAGAAATAAGAGATATAAGAACCCAGAAGATGGCCTAGTGAAGCAGAGATAGATGGCAGTTGGCGTCAAGGATGAGAAGGGATAAGATTCCATAAAAAGTCTGTAATTTAAATCACTAATGTGCTAGTTTCCTATTGCTGTTGTAACAATTTGCCACACATTTAGTGGCATAAAAGAACACATTTACTGTTACACTTGTGAAGGTCAGACGTGTGATAAGATTCTCATGAGGCTAAAATCATGGTGTCAGGAGGACTTGTCTTTCTGGAAGCTCCAGGGGGAGAATCTGAACAAATTCCCTGTCTCTTCCAGACACTAGAAGCTTCCAGATTTCCTGGGCTTGTGACCACATGACTCGAGTGTCTGCTTTTGTTGTCACATCACTGCCTCCCCCTTCAATCTTCTTGCCTTTTACTTATGAGAATCCAGTGATTACATTTTGAGCCCACCCAGCTAATCTAGAATACTCTTCCTTTCTCAAGGTCCTTAACTAATTCATATGTGCAAAGTTCCTTTTGCCACATACAGGACCATATTCATAGGTTCTGGAGATTATTACATGAACATCTTTAGAGCTGTTATTCAGCCTGCCACAGGAGATTATTTATATAGAATTTATTCTAGTTACAAAATAAATAACCAAAATATATATTTACATATCTAAGGTATTCCTATAAGTTCTGGAAAAGGGGAACATGGCTCTTGAAAATAGCTTATACGTTACCTGGGAGAATTCATAAGCTGTTGCATTCATGGACTACAAGGGCTATAATCTTCTAGACACAAATGCTTCCCATAGAAACATAGCATTGATGTTACAGATGTTGGAGATTTTTACAGATGTTGGAGATTTTTTTGACATCTTTTAAAGGCAACTAGTTATTTTTTGAGCAAAATCCCCAAGCAGAGTGGAGGTGGTTTAATACGTGGGCAAAAGATTTTGCCACCACCAAGCTTCAGCAAGACCAATCTACTGTCTTGTTGTTTCCCACATCTATAGGCATGTTACTTTGCCACATTTTTCAAGAGATGAAAGCTGGAGCCATATGCAATGAAACAGGGACTTTTAAAATTACTATAGCCACCAAGTAATGCAGCAGCCTGTCTTACTGCACGTTTGTATGTAAGTGGAAAGGGAGCCATAGAAAAGAATGATAGCTTCATTGCTGGGAATACACTTTTTAATTTAAATGTTAATTTCAGTAATAAAAAGACTTACTGATATCAATATTAAAATAATCCAGAATCCAATCCACTTTTGATAAATATTTTATCTTCCTTATAACACTTGATAGCTGAAGTTATGGTTTTATTCTCTCATTCAATATAAGTTAATCGGTGTCCAATATGTGCGAATACATTGTACTTGGTGCCATGGATACATCAGTGAACAAGGAAGTCATGATTCATTTCCCTATGGAGCTTCTGTCCTAGTTTGAAGGCAGACAAACAAACATACCAAAACAAACTGTGATCAAATAAATGTCTGTATATACAAATACATATATTGTTAGAAGTCATATTATTAAAACTCTTCTGCCATATTCTCTCAGGTGAAAAAAATTAAGTTGCTAGGATTATTTAAGGCATTAGAATTCAACGCTTGATTTTTTTCATCCAATAAGCATGAAATTAAATCTTGCTCTGTGTTCATTCTTGTGAATTACCAGTCTTAAATTTTAGTTCCCTTTTTGATGTTTCCATTTTAAAGGGAAGGCTGCTGTCACTAAAGATTCCCAAACCACAAACAGCTGCCTTTTCCCAATTTTCTACCTCTCAGAAAACAATACCACAGTTAGCCAGTAGTTCAAGATAACAACATAATGGTCATCCTTGAGCCCCACCCTCTCTCTCTTTATCTAATTTTTTAATTTATTTTTTTTTAAGTTTATTTATTTATTTTCAGAGGCTGGGGAGGGAGAGAGAGTGAGGGAGAGAGAGAGAGAAAATCCCAAGTAGTCTCCACTCAGAGCTTGAACTCACAAGCTGTGAGATCATGACATGAGTGGAAACCAAGAGTCAGATGTTTAACAATCTGAACCAACCAGGTGCCCCTCTTTTCTTTATCCTTCATATTTGTGAGCAAGAAAGTTCAGGGGGAAGAGATGTCAAATTGTTGATAGTGTCCAGGCTAGTGTCATCATTTCTTCAACTCTGGGGTGAGTGTGCTGGGCACATCTCAGATGGCGATGAAGGCTGTGAAGGTAGAAAAGGCCTTGTGTATTTCTTGTTTCAAGGAATTACAACAGGATGAATAAGCAGGAAATTGAACTAGGATCAGAGACTCAAAAAAGTAGACCAATGCATATGTCTAGAAAGGATTTAATAAAAAAGAAATTGATGGAGAGGAGGTAGAAGTTAGAAGAAAATTGGGAGGAAAAAAAAGAATGAGGGGCAAGTGGATATAGCTGGGGGTGCTTAGTGTGTAATTCAGAGAGGCTAAAAAATGAGTGGCTGAAAGCACACAGACTCTCCAGTGATAGGGCACTACATTCTAATCCAGAATTTTCTACCTGTAGGGGCGCCTGGGTGGCTCAGTTGGTTAAGCAACCAACTTGATTTCAGCTCAGGTCATGATCCCATGGTTCATGGGATTGAGCCCTGCATCAGCACAGAGCCTGCTTGGGGTTCTCTCTTTCTCTGCCCCTCCCCTGTGCTCTTTCCCTCTCTCTCTCTCAAAATAAAAATAAAAACTTGAGAAGGAAAGAATTTTCCACTTGTAGCCTTATTTTTCTCATTTCATCATCAAATAGGCATTAAAACACTACTTATCCTAAAGAATTACTCTGTCAGCATTTAATAAAATTATCAAATGGGATATTGTATGCGAAGCATTTTGTATGTAGTTGGTATCCAGTTGTCACCAGAGGGGGCATAACTGTGGTGCCAGTAAATCTTAGGCTTTGAGAAGCCTCACCTGATGGGCCTTTACACCTCCTTACAGAGGTGTTAGTAATGTGTTCATGTCATATTTTGGACACAAATTGCGAGAGTAAGTGTGTCTTTTGAAGGTCTTCTATTTCTTTGCGTCAGGCTACCTTCTTATACATTTCCCTTGTTTCAAACTGTTCTTAGGGCAGTGATAGGGAAGACCCTCACAAAGGAATATGAGAAAACAGACTATCTCAGAAATACTAGACACAAAGGAAAATAGATTCCAAGAAAAATGTAATGAGGCAAATTGAGGAAAGGTAGGAAAAAATCAGGAGGATGAAAACTAAAGAGGGACTAAGAAGTCAGAGAAAAAGAAGTTATGAAGGAAGCCTGGAAAAGAAATTCCAGCATACACGAAATCAGTGCCTTTGAAGAAGAAAAGTAAGCAAATAAATAAAAAAATCCATCATACCCAATGTTCAAAACTATAATCCAATAAAACATTTTTGAAAATAGGTTATTGAAAGAGTTCATTTGAGAAAATTGGCTTGGCAATAGGCTCTTGGACTTTTCATAGCAAAACTGTTAGTTTTCAAGGACTAAGAAAAACAATTCCAGAGTCTCGGGGAGGGGGGGAACAATTTATAAATGTCAGGAAATTAGGCTGGCACTCAACTTGTTAAGAATTGAGTATAGAGCAAAGGGACAGTAACACAGCATTTTCAAGAAACACAAGGAAAGAGAGTGTGGACCAAAAATGTACTTCCCAACCAAGCTGTATTTTAAGTATTGAGGCCACAGAGGAACAGTTTTGAATATGCAATAACTCAGGGAATATGAAACACCTCCAACCTTTCCCAAGGATTCTACTATATGATGAGTTTCATCCTACCAAGAGATAACTGAAAAATTTTTCAGCAAAAAAAGGTTGGTGGTGAGCACTGAACGCATTCAGTTGTACAATTCTGAGTAGAATAAGGATGCCAATGTGGTAGGAAAAAGCCAAATAAACATTCTGTGTTCTGAAGAAGTGGAATGAAAGCAAGTAAAGAATAGAGGTAAAAAGTTACATGAAGGGGGAAGTAAAACATAACAGATAAACATAGGGGAAGGGAAGGAAAAATAAGAGAAAAGCAGAGAGGGAGGCAAACCATAAGAGGCTCTTAAATATGAAGAACAATCTGAGAGTTCCTGAGGGGGGAGGTGAATTGGGGGGTGGCTTAAATAGGTGATGGGCATTAAGGAGGGCATTTGTTGGGATGACCATGTCTAAGTGATCAATCACTGGATTCTGCTCCTGAAGCCAATACTACACTGTATGTTAACTAACTTAAATTTAAAAAAAATTTATAGACAGTTTGATAGTTAACCTGTGGGGGTCAAAGCACACTAGTTAAAATGGACAAATGGACAAATCCATAAAATGGACAAATCATATAGTAAAAGATTATAGAAGAAAGTAGGAGATTAAAGACAGTACAGTACAGTTTAAATACAAATATATCCACTAGAGAAAGGAAGGAAGGAAGGAAGGAAGGAAGGAAGGAAGGAAGGAAGGAAGGAAGGAAGGAAGGAAGGAAGGAACTTTCCTAAATCCACTTCCTAGACATTTGAAATAGAGCAGAAATAATAACACCACCTAAAGAAAGAAACTTTGTAAATACTAATATATATAGTAATTGAATCATAAAATAATAGGAGGGGGGAAAATGTTTCTGCTTCTAATGAAGCAAATTACAAAACAATGCTTATGTTCATCTAACAACTCAAATAAGTCTGAATAATTTATTAAAAAAAAAAAACTGTATGTTTTCCAAACCCCCCCCCCCAAAGAATCAAAGACACAAAAACTAATGAATCAGACTTCAGAAAGTCACTTGACCTTAATAACAAAGAAAGAAGAGCTCTTGTATGGCAGAATCTGGGGTAAAAAAAGGGACAAGAAGAACATCAGCTTAATACATAACAAGTTGTTACCGTTGCATTGGGTTGGTAGGACAACTTGACATTTCATGACAGGTCTGAGAATGCCACCTAAATATCTCTCAAGGTTATAGATTTCCATGAAATGCTTCTTCCCAGTCACCGGGTAGCAGGATTGCACAACCCCCATTGCTTGTGAATCCTTTGTTTGGTAGAAAATGGAGTGTTCTTTCTTCTTTATGATGTTCATGGAACCCTTTTCTCAAACCAGCTGATTATGTGACTTCAGCTATAATAAGCCTCTTCTCTTTCTTTCCTTTTCTCAGTCACTGTTTTCCATTGCCAACCCTTTGACGTGGGTCTTAATTTCCCTGTGGCTGCTTCACAGGAGTTCTGTGAAGATTCAATGAGATATCACATGGAGTTTCCCCGCAGTGCCTGACATATACTACAGGCTTAACAATTACTAACTACAGTAATGGTTATTAGTAGAGATAATCTTTTTTCCAAGTAGGAGCAGAGAGGAGCATTCTTTAAACCCTTCCACTACCTCTTCACAATCTATACTTCGAGTTTCTGTCCTTCCCCAGCAGGGAGCTTCCCAACTGCCATGATTTTCCTCAAAACCCCACAAAGCCTGTTTGCAATTTCTCTTCCTCTCTGAAGTTCCTTGTAGGGGAAGAGCCTGACCAGGAACAATTGATCTGTATTAGGAATAAGTAATTTTGTATGAATAAAGGGCAACAGAAAGGTTGAGGTTACTTGAGGAATAAGCTGTGACTGTTTTTCTGCTCACAGAGAAAGTTTTGATTGTTTAACTACTTTATGAATATTTACAGCATATCATTATCATTGTCATAATCTCCTTCCCATCAACCTAGGGTGAGTTGGGAACAAACCTTGTTTGATCTTCCCATTTCCTTCCTCTTGTTTTGATTCTCTCTCCCAGCATTCTGCCATTCTGCATTTCTTTTCTTTTCTTTTTTTAAATGTTTTATTTATTTCTAGCAGAGAGAGAGAGAGAGAGAGAGAGACAGCATGAGCAGGGGAGGGTCAGAGAGAGAGGGAGTCACAGACTGAAACGGGCTCCAGGCTCTGAGCTGGCAGTCAGCACAGAGCCCGACACGGGGCTTGAACCCACGAACCGCGAGATCGTGACCTAAGCGAAAGTCGGACGCTTAATCAGCTAAGCCACCCAGGCGCCCCTCTGCATTTCTTTTCTATAAGCCTCTGCCCTTAGCTGCCTTTTACCTCCCCCACAAAGAACTACCTGATAAAGTTTTAGAATTGCTCATCACCCCAGTCATTCTTTTTTAAAAAATTTTTAAATGTTTTTTTATTTATTTCTGAGAGAGAGAGATACAGCATGAGCAGGGGAGGGTCAGAGAGAGAGGGAGACATAGAATCCCAAGCAGGCTCCAAGCTACCTGTTAGCACAGAGCCCAATCCAGGGCTCAAACCCACAAACTGTGAGATCATGACCCTAGCCTAAGTCAGATGCTTAACCAACTGAGCCACCTAGGCATTCCTGCCACCTCCCCACCCAGTTATTCTTGAACTCACAGATATTTGTAAAACAAAATAAAGAGAAAATTCTTTGATTCTGCACTCCAAGACGATACTATTAACATATTTGATTTTATACATAGTTTTCTTTTTTTTCCCCCTAGAAAACTAAACACAAAGTCTGGGGATTTTGAGGTAAATATTTTATAATGTGCCCTAGTGGCATTAGAAAAGGTAATTAAAGGGGCACCTCGGTGACTCCGTTAAGCCTCTGACTTTTGGTTTTGGCTCAGGTCAAGATCTCATGGCTCGGAGTTCAAGCTGCAAATTGGGCTCTGAGCTAACAGTGAGAAGCCTGGTTGGGGTTCTCTGTCTCCCTCTCTCTCTGTTCCTCCCCTATTCATTCTCTCTCTTTCTCAAAATAAATAAATAAACTTAAAAAGGAAAAGTAATTAAAGAACCGATCGGGGCCTCAGGCAACCTCTCCTTAAATTCTTCCGGCACCTGTTTATTCATGTATAAGTAGATGGAATTAGAGTCAGTGACTTTGAAGTTCCCTGAAGTGCAAGGTTCTCTAATGGGCTGATCCTTAAAGATTTACCTTGTCTAGATGGTCATTTGGCAATGTGCACATGAGGTAGATATAAGACTTCTAAAGTCACACCTTCTTTTGAAGGTGCGTGCGTGCCATGATGTGAGGTGGTGCAGGTGAAGTCTCCATGGTGTTTCTCTTACTGGTTAAGAATCTGGCTTCTCATAGTCAGGGTCTTGCCAGTACCAGCATCTCTATGTGACCAAAGATGGCAGATAGAAGGTTTTCTTAATGTGACTTCTTGAGAATGACTCAAGCCAAATTCTGGAATGAGACTATGTGCAACTCTAAATGATGCATGATATTATTCTCACATAGCCTCTTATTTCCTCCTTAATTTGGGTCTGGTTTGCACTTAGTGTGGCTAAAGGCACATTCTGGGCATTCTCTGGATCCTGTGGAAATAGCAAAGTATTAGCACCTTTACAGTAGGAAAATTATTCCCAGCCTAGAAAGACGAAAGTGATCTTGATATTTCCTGGAAGTGGCAGGGACATTAATACTTAACAAGTTCATGTCCATGTTCTTGAGTCTACACTTGCTTCAGATGTAGGTCTCCCCAATAGGAAATGGGATGATTAAAGCCCCTGGTGGCCATTGTTCAGCATGTCAGATGGTTTCTATCCATCTACAGATCACTGTGGCTGGATATAAGACTGTTTAAGAGTTCATTAAGGCTAAATAAGGTCATTAAGGTCTATCCTAATCCAATCTGACTGGTGTCCTTATAAGAAGAGGAGAAGAGGGGACACCTGGGCAGCTTAGTCAGTTAAGCATCTGACTCTTGACTTTGGCTCAGGTCATGATCTCCAGGTTCATGAATTTGAGCCTGGTGTCAAACTCTGAGCTGGCAGTGTGGAGCCTGCTTGGAATTCTCTCTACCTCCCCCTCTCTCTACCCCATTCTCCCTCTCTCTCTCTCTTTCAAAATAAATAAATCAACTTAAAAAAAAGAGGAGCATAGGGTACACAGAAAGATGCCAGGGGTGTGCATACACAGAGGCACATGATCTGTGTGATGGTCAATTTCCTGTGCCAACTTGCCTGAGCCATGATACCCAGATATTGTGGTCAACATTATTCCGTATGCTTCTGTGAGGGTATTTTTGGATGAAATTAACATTTTTTAAAGTGCATTAGTGTACTTTATTTTTTTTAATATTTTTATTTTTTTATTTATTTCTAGGAGAGAGAGAGAGAGACAGCATGAGCAGGGGAGGGTCAGAGAGAGAGGGAGACACAGACTGAAACAGGCTCCAGGCTCTGAGCTGGCAGTCAGCACAGAGCCCGACGCGGGGCTCGAACCCACGAACCACGAGATCATGACCCAAGCGAAAGTCGGACGCTTAACCGACTAAGCCACCCAGGCGCCCCGAAATTAACATTTAAATCAGTGGATTCTGAGGAAAGCAGATTGCCATCCATAACGTACATAGACCTCATCCAACCAGTGGAAGAGTGAAATAGAAAGAAGACTGACCCCTTCCTGGCAAGAAGACTCCAGATTCGAACTGCACCACTGGCTTTTTCTGGGTTTCCAGCCTGCTGGTGGACCCTGCAGATTTTGGTCTTGCCAGGCTCCAGAATCATAGGAACCAATTCCTTACAATAAATCTCTTTCTCTATAGATGCACATCTGACTGGTTCTGTCTCTCGGGAGAACCCTGACTAATACAGTGTGGACACAGGCAGGAGCTCAGAATGGAGTCCTTCGGGCCACAGGTTCTCTGCTGCTCTTCACGCTAAAAGGGGAAGAGCCAGAGAAGCAGCGGCATTACAATACGATGCCCCAGGCTTCAAACCAGGGTGTAAACAAGGACCTGGGGTGGGTGGATAACAAAGAATTCCACTTGAAAGAGACAGAGGAAGGGGCCTAGAGTGGGATGTTCCCAGGTGATTACATGGGGGACAGGATGGGTGGTGGAAAACACTCTCGTCAGAGGAGACAGCATGTGCAATGGCAAGAATTGTAAGAGAACCTGGAATGTTCAAGGATGCCAGGCACATTAGACTTGGGAAGATGAAGGGGACAAACAAGGGGATGGGTGCACAGGAAATGAGTTCTGTACAAAAGGGGGTGGGGGGATGTTGAGACTCCCCCTACCAGGCTGAGAAGAAAGAGATGAACCAAGGAGACATTGGAGAACAAACTGTGGTACTGAAAGACAGTGAATTAGCAACTGAGACAATATCTTTTCAAATAACGAACGCACAGTGATGCCTGGGTGGCTTGGTCTGTTGAATGTCTGACCTTGGCTCAGGTTCATGAGTTCAAATCCCCGCATTGGGCTTGTTGCTGTCAGTGTGGAGCCTGCTTCAGATCCTCTGTCTCCCTCTCTCTGCCCCTTCTGCTTGTGCACTCTCAAATAATAGACACGTGTTTAAGAAGGGTATCATGATAATAATACATTCTTCATACAGTTATTAAAAAAATAAAATAATGAACACTGCTAGTTTCACTTCAAATAAAAAAAATTGGGGTTTCAATGAATAGTTTCAAATAAAGGGCATAGGTTCAGTAAAAACTCACAGTTTCTTCTCTAGGATTTTAAATTTTTTTGAAACTGTTGGTGAGGGCACAAGATAGTGAAAGAAGATAATGTGCCATTGGAAATATGAATTTGGTTGCATGAGCATGAAGATTGGCTTAGTACAAGTAATCCTTCTGCTATTACTAGCTAAAGGAGTCTGAGGTCATCCATGAAAGGAATGGGAAATTACTGTGTAAAATTCTTATCTTTTGCAGGGCACCTGGTTGGCTCAGTCGATTAAGCTCCCGACTTCAGCTCAGGTCATGATCTCGCAGTTCGTGGGTTCGAGCCCCATGTCGGGCTCTGTGCTGACAGCTCAGAGGCTGGAGCCCGTTTTGGATTCTGTGTCTCCCTCTCTCTCTGACCCTCCCCTACTCATGCCATCTGTCTCTCTCAGAAATAAATAGACCATTAAAAATTTTAAAAAATCATATCTTTCGCAAAACAATTGATTTGATAAAGATTGAAAATTTCTCAAACTCAATGTGAATTCCTTAAGATACAGAAAATGGTGAGAGAAAATAATACTCTAAGTAAGACTCCCT